GTGAGAGAAATGTGCGCGGGCACGTCGTATTTTGATAGTGTATGTGTTTTGTTGTATTTAAATTTGATTGTTGTGTGTTTGTTAATAGTATTTAATGTATTGTATGTATTTTTTTCACAGTATGTAGTGGTTTTATGTTGTATATTAAGAAAGATTGGGGGTGAGTTCGGTTATCTGGTTTATTTTTCCCCTTTTTTATAATGGAGTGCCGGGTGAAATATAGTGGTGGTGACTCAATGGTCATTTACGGTAGTTGTTGATATGCTCTTATGATGTGATAACGAGAATTTTTGTTTACACTTCTCCTGGGTTGAGGTTACGTCAGAAATAATTTGCCGGTAATAGCTACTGATTTTTCTCTAGAATTTAAGGTACTTGGTTAATTATTATTTCTTATTTGAATGGCCTCATCTCCGTTATGTCATGCAGGTATTGACCGACTGGAGAAGTTGTGTGCCGCTAAGTTCCATCTCATCGTTCCACCGAAGTTCAAAATGCCTAAGGTAAGAATAATATGCTAATTGATTAAATTTTTTTGTTATTTACGGTAGGTAGTACGGCTCCATTACTAACAACAGTAAACTTTTTCTCATTTGATTTAATTGAAATAACGAATCTTGTGTTCAAATTCTGCTCGCCTTGCCTTAAAAATTTAGGTTCTGCTGTGAACAGACCCCAACCGATATTAATTTTGAAATGCGTCCCTTAAAACTATATGTGTGAATAATAAGTTTAAATTTATCATCCGATTATTATATTTTGACAGCTATGCTTGTTTTAAGGATTATATATTATTGGAATTTTTGTCGAATTTTTTTATCGTTTTAGACCTAAAAAGACAAGACATCTGAAAATTAAACGCAATTTGCCTATACTATGCATTACTAATTTGATGACATTAAAACCTGCTTTTGAACCAGTATCTGGAAAGAACATTTTGTATTTAATGATTTATACGATACCAAAAATTTGAGCATTTTTTAAATAAGTTTTTCACAAAATATGTCAATCGGATGTAAGATTTTACAGTTGATCGGTTTATTAAAATTGCCTCAAATTTAAAATTCCAGCTTTTGTGGTGTGTCCAATAGAAATATTATATGCTTGATGAGAGGCAATTTGTTTTTCCTGATCCCAACTGACCTTCAGTTGCATAACGCAGTTACTTTGATTCCCTCGTGTTTACCACTGCATTAGCAATAAATTGCTTTCCATATTTAAATGTTGTGATCCTCCTTGTTATCAATTAAGTCGCGATTGTCATGTTACGCTACACTTGCTGCCGGTCCTAGTGACGTAGCTTCATTCATGTCCTCACTGCTGCCCTAGTGACGTGCTTCATTCATGTCCTCACTGCTGCCCTAGTGACGTGCTTCATCCATGTCCTCACTGCTGCCCTAGTGACGTAACTTCATCCATGTCCTCACTGCTGGCCTAGTGAAGTAGCTTCATTCATGTCCTCTCTGCTGCCCTAGTGACGTAGCTTCATTCATGTCCTCACAGCTGGCCTAGTGACGTAGCTTCATTCATGTCCTCTGCTGCTCTAGTGACGTAGCTTCATCCATGTCCTCACTGCTGGCCTAGTGACATAGCTTCATTCATGTCCTCACTGCTGGCCTAGTGACGTAGCTTCATCCATGTCCTCGCTGCTGCCCTAGTGACGTGCTTCATTCATGCCCTTACTGCTAGCCTAGTGACGTAGCTTCATTCATGTCCTCACTGCTGCCCTAGTGACGTAGCTTCATTCATGTCCTCACTGCTGCCCTAGTGACGTGCTTCATTCATGTCCTTACTGCTGGCCTAGTGACGTGCTTCATTCATGTCCTCCCTGCTGCCCTAGTGACGTAGCTTCATTCATGTCCTCACTGCTGGCCTAGTGACGTAGCTTCATCCATGTCCTCGCTGCTGCCCTAGTGACGTGCTTCATTCATGCCCTTACTGCTAGCCTAGTGACGTAGCTTCATTCATGTCCTCACTGCTGCCCTAGTGACGTAGCTTCATTCATGTCCTCACTGCTGCCCTAGTGACGTGCTTCATTCATGTCCTCACTGCTGTCCTAGTGACGTGCTTCATTCATGTCCTCCCTGCTGCCCTAGTGACGTAGCTTCATTCATGTCCTCACTGCTGGCCTCTGTTTCAGGTGGTTGGAGCGGCAGCTTCCAAGATCGTTAAAAGGTGAGTGTAAGCTTGGCACTTAAAACGCGTTCTACTCATACCGATTGTCCTTATTTCAGTAATTATCCTTTGTTTCTCGCTCAATCGCAGCGCTTGCCTAACCTTCATTCGAAACATTTTGTTATATTTTTTTGTTGCCATTAAACTGAAGACTTGCAGTGTTGATTTTTTTATGGGATGTGTTTCATAGAATTGTTGGCAAATAAGTTTTAACTTGCCAATCAATCTTTCGTAAATAGAACGATGTTATTCGAAGGTAAATGAAGTATTGTTAAATTTCGTCTGTGGAAATCAAATTATTTCACGATGCCAAGTCTGTACATTACTTGTAGCTTATTGCTAATCTCACGATGTTTATTCTTCCAGAATTTATGCCTTAATAATTATTTCTTACGTGTGCAGAGGAGACTACATCTCCGTGACGGCGAGGAACAATGCCAGTGAGAGCAGTGAGACCGCCACAACTACCATCACAAGCTCCACTGAGAACGAGTCAACCAACAGCGCTGCTAGTGATGCTTCTGAGCGTAATAAAAACAGTTTGTCTGAAGCTAGTACACCCGTGTCATCATCTACACCACATGAAGGTTCTGAAGTTCAAGATGAAGCCATTACTCACGAGGAAAAATCTCCAAACAAAAGTTCCTCTATCACGTTTCCTGTCAATAGATGTTCCGTTGCTGGTATATCTGGCGACAATAGTAATACTGCTGCTACAGAAACCACAGGCAGAGATGCCTGTGTCGACCGTCGATGCGACGCCACTGAGACCAGAGGACCTTGCAAGCGGCCGGTGTCGGCCGCACGCTCCTCTGCCAAGAAGAGTAAAGTTTGTCGACGCAGCCGCCCGCACCTCACAGTGAACCCCACCAAGTCCGCGGACAGCACCAACTTACTTTTTGCTGGACTTGTGTCAGGGGCTCGTGGAGGCACGGTCGTGTCTATTGACGACCAACTTTCTGGCGACGATTGTGACGAGGACTGTGAGCACGACGATAGTGAAAGAAACGACGTGTCAATGATTAGTTCAGACTCCGCTTATGAGGCAACAGATGTAATGTTACGGGAGTCTTGTGACGAAGATTTGCTCGACGTAGCTGAGAGTACAAGTTCGAGACAACTTTTGGCTGATAGAACTTGTAATCAACTTAATGGAGATGAAGGCAGCTGAGTAACTCAGATATTAGTGATAGGTTTGTGTTTTCCCACTGTTTTCTCATGATAGTCATTCGTGTAATTTCACTACTTCGGTCAGTTAAGACAGAAGTATAATTGTAACCCATTTTTAGTTCTAGAGGCGTTAGTTCGATCAATAAGCACGAAATGTTTTTGTTAGAAATATGGCTGTGCTCGATACTTTCGTCTGTGCGACGTGTCATGATATTCCCTCGAGTGCAGACTACAGTAAGGGTTTGATAAATGAATACGTTGAACTTGCGACGATTACAGTGCTCATTATTTCTCGTGTATAACTTAGGTATTTACTGCACCAGATACTAATGTGATAACTCATCTTTCAACAATGCCATTGGGAAGATTCAGTTCATGTTATTTCGATACAAATATGCATTATTCATATTTTTATGAAACAAATTTGGAAATAAGTGAAGCTACTTTTTGGTGATTTTTAAGCGGCGTATCTGATTGGTTCTTCAAGCTTTCAACCAATTAAATCATAGTACCAAACCCGTTCTAATCCTGTTTCATTACGATCGTGATCATAACTGTTGAATTCAAGTATTTCTGATAGTTGAACGTAACATGCACCCCACTGATCTAACACTTGGAAAAGTTTTTAATGACGGTCGTTCATGTTTTCGATGTGTCTCCTGAATAACTGGACGAAAGTGACGTATCTGCACCTGATTTTATCTTGATCGTAATCTTGTAAGTTATTTCCTAGTTTAACTTAGCAGTTTCTCATGCATTATATTGAACTAATTTATCCTCATTCGTGCCTCATGTTCATTTTACTGCTCACACCGTAGAAATATTGTTGATTTTTGTGCGAATGTCGACGGAATCGCTTTTCGTGTCTGTGAAAAATTCTGTTGAACTATGGAAACCTTCATTGCTTCGTTGCTATCAAATTTTTTACCAGAGTATTAACTCCAATGTCCACGACAGATTTTGCTTTGCTAAGCCTGATTAAGGAGCTGATTATAATGCCCAAAAAAAATCGATCAACAAATAAAAAAACACCTTCCTCATTCTCCCAGAGTTCCGATATCATTCAAAGCCATATTTTGGAGGGAATCTTATGCGTTTTCTAGACCATTTGCCTCTTTATTGTAGGTCTTGTTTTAATTTTCATGCACATTATCTACATGAACAGCAAAATGTCTACATAAAATCTATTTGTTTTGCGGTTGCCATACATGTTAGTTAAGTTTTGTGCATGGTATCATATGCTGTCTCCTTGGGCATAATTTATTTATGTAGTGACGCTGGAACCGTTGCAGAGAAAGTTGTAACGTTCATAGTTTCTCACGTCCGATGTATGCATGAAGAAAACTCGTAGTTACCACGTATTATAATATTTCTCTTGTCTGAAACTGCATGAAAGAGACATCACTTTGTAAATACGAAGGCGTGCCCCAACCCGTCAACGTGAAGAGATTTCTCCTGTCGGTCCTAGTTAAGTCCTTGTATATTCTGTGATTATGCTTGCTCTGCTAGAGTTTCCTTCCAACAGCAAATCCTTACATTTGTATCAATGAGTCTTATTTTTCCTTTCTTTAAACAAGCTAAATACATGGCCTCGGAATGCTAATGTTGTAGCTGCAGGCCACAGTATTGGCTCTCTATCAACGAAATGAACGGTCGCGGCAGTCTATTCTTAATTAAGCAACGCTACCTACTGAACTTGGCTTCTGAGTTCTTGTTAAACAACAAGGATTGTCTCGTCTTGAGCTATGAATTTTTATTTCACTGATAGTGCTCTTAACAACAATGATAATGATAGCAGTATGAGCGTTGATCGGGCCATGTTGGCTTGTCGCCGATTCTGACCAGAACTATCGCATAGAACTGGGGCTCGAACCCGCACTTCTCTGCTCCAAATACTGGTTCTCTGAACTGCAAGCACAGGGCCGCGCTGCCCCCTGAAACAACTCTTAAATTTTTCTAGGGACAGTAACTGCATGAACGGGCTTCTTTCTTAAAGGTCTTCTGATTATTTCTTGCCGGCTGCAAAGCGTTAATAAGAGTGAATTTTATATGAAGGATGAATAATTGGGTGAAATGTTTGAATCCGTTGTATTTTTTTCATTTAATGTCAGCAGTTTATCGAAGAAGAATGTGAAAAACGTAAACATGGAATTTGTTGTTGGGCATAATTCCGACTATTTCTGCGAATGTAGTTTATCACTTGTCAGGATTTTATTCGTTCTTACATTCTCCAAATTGTTGATTATTTTTATTTTATATACCCTTAGGCCTTACTGTTTCAGAAGAAACGTAGAAGAAACATTAGAGAGCTTTACTCTAAAAGTCCGTAGTCATCTCCTCCCTCATGATTTTATTCGTTCTTACATTCTCCAAATTGTTGATTATTTTTATTTTATATACCCTTAATGTTTCAGAAGAAACGTAGAAGAAACATTAGAGAGCTTTACTCTAAAAGTCCGTAGTCATCTCCTCCTTCCCATTCATCAGCGATGACGATCGCTGCGGCTCGAGCTTCGTCGTCAGGAAGAAAGTCCAAAGTTCCCTCGGCGCCTGAGAAATCAAATTTTCCGGCTGCCACATCAGCGCTGAGTTCATTTTTGAGGCACGCCCAGTCGCGAGCGTAGCGCTCGCAGTCTAGGAAGGTTCGCGTGCGGAGGACATCAGCTGGCACAGGGGCGTTTATGCGGTCGCTTACTGGCATACATTCCTGCAGAACGCAGAACATGATGGTTGTTAGCTTCATTGAAAACGCGGCATCTAACTAGTTATAGTTGCTTGTATAAGTGAAGAATTATTACTATTCATTGCTAAATTCCGTTATAAATAGTAATCCAATTCGAAGACAGATTAGTAAAGTTTGATGAAGGCTGTTCATTGGTTTTACTTGTTGCTACAGTGAAAAAGTTGAAGACCTTGCCTCCTCTTAATATATTCATTTTTTATGAGATGAAATCTACTAAGCTGATATCTCATGTATGGTCACTCTTATTTATCGTTCTCTATAAACCGTGGGTACGAACTGTGATGTACGGGTATTTGTTCTGCAAACCTTCTGAAAAAAAATTAATGAGTTATTGCATTGTACGTGAATATCAACATATCACTTACGGCCATCTTGAAGCACTGGTTGACGCCGAGGAGGAGGTCATTGAGGAGAACGGGTGGCAGGTCTAGCGCTTCGTATTGCTGCGCCACAACGTCGGCCGCGATTTTGTTGTCAGCGTCCGTCTGCAAAGATGGGCATTGAACTCCATCATGACAAGATGCCAGATCCAAATTGAATTTTGAATTTTATATAATAAAATTTTTAGAGGAACCTTTAGATGATTACCAATCCAATTACTAAAATTTCACTAGCCGGTAACCAATTCTTTACTTTAATAATAATAATAATAATAATAATAATAATAATAATAATAATAATAATAATAGCGGTTTCGGCGTTTATTAGGCCGTAGGCCTGTCGCCGATTCTTAACATCGCAGAACATTCACAGCATTTTGCGGTCTCAAACTCGCAACCCACTGCTTCAATTCTGTTTTTGCTTAACCGCCCGGCCTCCTTTCCGATTCTGACCAGAAACTGGCGCACAGAGCCGGGATCGAACCCGCGCCAATCTCTGAACTTTAACCACCGGGCCACCCTGCCCGGTTTAACCACCGGGCCACCCTGCCCGGTCCGGGCCACCCAATTTATTTGTTTAGTTATTGTTTCTATAGAAAATTACAGATTTAATTTCAAGCAATTTTTAGCTTTTTTAGGCTATTTTACGAATAGAGACAACTTACCACTCCTATGTGCTGCACGATACAGCGGAACCTCTTTACTTGAGAGGACATTTTAGCTTTGATGTTTTGTATCCTCTCGTCATTCTGAAAGGTTTAATAGAAATTATTACCAGGATAAAATATATATACACTAATGACATTTTAATTTCAAGGCTTTCATAAAAACTGGACAATGCGTCCAGCAATAGTTATATACATTCTTAAAATAATGTACATAATAGGCAAAATTATATATAATAATTGAAAAATTACATGTAATACGAATCATTTATTATACGAGTCTCTAATATCTAAACAGTATTAAATGCAATGAGGCAATTAGATTATTATAAACAACAAATGGATTTTGCCTAAAAATGAAGACTTCTTACTAAACATGTCTCGATAGAAACTAATAAAATCTTGTCACTAAAATCAAATGTAACAACACCAATAACAAATGACACTGACTAGAAACCTGATAGAACTAATATCAAAATGTCATTCAAAGAAAAAAATTACATCATAACTTAATTCAAATTAATACTGGGCCAGAATAAAGTCATGGAACTTTGTTTTTAGGGTAACTTGAGCAAACTATTTTGCAATCGTCCGGCAACGCGTTAAAATAATCACACAAATTGATATACATCGCGTTTGATTTTATTATGTAAATAATTTATTAAAGGTCAGCGAAAATACGGAGGATTGGGAGGCTTGAAAATGGATCTTACCAGACGGAAGTAGCGGCCTGGCGAGAATTCACTCTGTGGGGAGAAAAAATTGAATGTGAGTGCACGAATCTAATGTGAGCATATGATTTGAATCTGAACACGCGAATCGGATGCGAATGTACATTCGGGTGTGAATGCACAAATCGAATGTGAATGCAGGAATCAAACATGAAAACATAAATTGAATGTGAACGCATGATTCGATCACGAATGCATGAATTGAATGTGAACGCACGAACCGAATGAAATGCATGAATCGAATGTGAACGCACGAATTGGATGCGAACGCACGAATTGAATGCGAACGCACGAATTGGATGTGAACGCACGAATTGGATGAGAACGCACGAATCAAATGCGAACGTATAAATAACGATAATGCAATGCACCGCTTGTGCGCCGATGAAAAAAAATATAACTCAGTACTCACTGCAGTGAGTGACAGAGAGCGCATTTTCTCGTCGACGAAAACTTGAGGTCACGGACGGACGGACAGACAGACAGACAGACAGACAGAGAGACGGACATGGCGAGCACAATAGTGCATTTTTTCCATAAATGAGAAAATGCGCTAATAATCCGTCATATTTATGCAAATAAGCCATTTTTAAATTTGCCTATGTCCAAAAAACTTGCGGGCTATTTCTTGGCCTTAAATCAGCTTGAATTTGATTACGCTCAAAGCTAAATTAATGTAGAGGCAGTTCTTCCAAATTCGAGTTGTAACTAAGCAATTAACAAAATAACTATAATTAAAACACCAGCATTTGCCTCAGATGCTATTCGCGTCCATTCTTCCTGTCATCAATATTTGAACAGCCAACAGCCCATTTCGATTAAATACTGTCTCGGTTAACCATAGTTTTCAGCTGCCGTAGTTTTAAATTGAAGTAATAATGTGTTGTGTTTATAAGGTAGAAACTCGAAGCATTAAACAAACTGTTGATTTTATATTCATTTTATACTGTTCCCACTATCATTCAGTTGGAGTTTATTCACGTCCGTGTATATCCAGTAGTTACTAATAAAAGACTATATACTGTAACTCATTACAAATAGGATCATTATAGTTATTCCATTAGGTGCAGTCCCTAAATTTATTCCCATGCGATCGAATCCAATAGCCTCCTCGAATAATTTAGGGCTCAGTGCTAATTGCAACTAATGGCGTTCATTTTGCTATTTTAATAAAAAAAATAACTTTGCGGCTGCCGTCCTAAACATTGGATAGTGGATAATCATGAAAGTACTCTGATTCAAATAATAATTATTTTTAACAGACTTAAAACCTAGAACATGCTTCACCTAACTCTCCAAGATCTGACCCCAATGCCCGAATTAAAAACTATTAGTATATATAGTAAAGAATCTGCAATATGCTTCAAATACTGTCCACTGATCCCAATGCCCCAATAAAAACTATGAGTATATTTCGTTAAAAGTCTGCAATATTCCTGACCCGACCCACCAAGATTTTATTCCAGTTGGCGGTTTCGACCGACGCCACAGGCTGCTCGTCGTGCGAGGCGCTGTCACAAGCAACGATGGCTCGCTGCAGTGCATCCTGCGCCGCCTTCATGCCGTCCGTCGTGAGGCATGCTTCGAAACGCTGCAAAATGCTCAGAATTTATTCATTATTATCATTAACTGTCATTATTTGTACATCTGAATTACCTTCTCAGCGGTCGTGTGCTGGTATATCTTCAAATTGAAAAAATGAGGAAATGTGGCTTCATTTCGATGAAAGTGCGATGCTAGAAGCATCACCAATTCTGTGGCATATAAAAAAATATTCTTGGTGTGTGAACTGGTGGAGCTCTTGTGCTATGTCATTCAAAGGGCGTAGAGTGTTTGTAAAGTGTGTAGCATATATATGTTCGTTATTTGAAATTGACTATCGAATTTGCAATTAAGTCTTCAATTAAATATCGAAATTGATTTGTAAAGAAATTATTCTTGTATGTCCGACATTAAGATGTACTAAAATTTCTCACAACCTCTAAGAAAATTATATACATCGTAAAGTCTACCTGCCAACTGAACTTACCAATCAAAAAAAGAAGCTTATAAATTTAATTATTAGCTCGAACAAAACAAATGTGATTTGCAAACGAACATAAATCAAGAAATTTTCTTAATAATCTTCTCCTTTTTGATTGCAATTAAGAATATAACATATGGAGCTCATGCCAGATTACCCTAGGATGCAAGAACCTACCTTTAGCGCTGCTCGCTTGTTCCAAAAAGCGCTCAAGTCGTATTCGTAGGTTGAGGCAACCGACAGGACGGCAACCACAACAACTGCTTGCAGAAACTTCATGATCTCGCGTAGAATTTCCTGATTGAAAAAAATAATACCTCACATCGTCAAATAAATTCCTTAGTAAATATATACGAAACGAGATTTCTTTTGTAATAGTTCCGCATTTTTATTATAAAATTCGAAGAGGAAATTAATTTATGCTACATGCTTTTGAACGCTAGGATTTTAGTGTAAATTCGTTTCGGGTTTGGTAATTTTCAGCATTTCAGATCGATGTATTTCAGCAAATGATAAAATAAACTAAGCGGTTGTTAAATAATATTCCCTGCTATGCTGTTGGAGTTTGAGTGACATTAACTTGCAAGAAAATTCTCAAACCAAGACTAAAATTTATCCTTCAAATTTTTACGAAAATAAATGCTATTTAAATACATTTAGCTATTTTATCATAAGATTTAGCTACTTTATCATTATCATATCAATTAAATTGCGAGCTGATATGAGCGTTTTACCTTGCTGACTGGAGAGTTTGGGAGCGTGTGACTTGCACCGACGATCTGGCATAACGTTTTATATTTCCAGAGTTCCGCATCGCTCCTCCTCTAACTGGGGCAACCTACGATGCCCAACCCATATTACCTATCTTTTGGCTTCAGGTTTTTATTTGATTAGTCCCTTGGATTTCATTGGACGATCACGTACGTTGATGGCACATTATTTTTTAGAGCCTGCAACATTCAGTCTCTCGTTATGGATCTTATCTGCATAATTGGCTGCAATAGTTGGGTTAATCGTACATAGGCTTATTAAAATACTTCGATGAACTTATACTCATGTTCGTGTAAATCTGTATACATCATTAACTCAACAAATAATAGCAATATAATCACAGTTTTCTACATTTTCAGAGAGGAAAGTACAAATTATTTCATATTCATCATTGCGCTCCAATTAATGAATGAAATGACAGGATCAAAAAATGAACAAAATTTGTTGAAAGTGTGGCCAAAAAATTAGATTCAAGGTACTATATAAATAATTCTGAATATTCTTCTCTTGAATATTGTTTGTACCTCATACATTTTAGCACTGCATTGATGAAATGAAAATAGATTCAAATTCTTACCTCGAAATTCACATGACAATTTCCAACACACATTAGAAAGTACCACGTGCATGCAATTCTCTTTATAGAAAAAAGAATAGATGTGAGATGCTTAACTTCAAATTATTAAATTATTATATTCATCAATTACATTGTTATGAGTAAATGTAAAAATTGAAATTAGAGTAATCGAAAAATTATTTAATAATGATGTTTCTTCTTTTCATATGCTAATAAAATTAATACTATGTAGAGAAATTCATCATCAACTTCAATTGCAAAATTTTTAGTAAAAAATTCCAAATTAACGAATAATCGATGTGAATCAGATTTATGATATTGTGGTATTGGTAAAGCAGACCTGGAGCGAAGTGCTGTATTAATATATACAGTATCACTCGCTCACTATATCACTACGAAATATCATCATAAATGTCCTGCTTTAGTAAAAATATATCACGGCACACAGAAGAATCATCAAGAAACGCAAACTAGAAGTTAGAGGTCATCAATTGAATTTGAAATTTGTGAGCCTCTGATTCGACAAGTACAGTAGAGCTCTCATGACATAAAAATGCAAGTCATGGCACCTGTGAAGCAAGTCATGGCACCGGGCGAACGAATACAGCAACAAAAACTACCACACCCCGAGCTGCTGGTAGGTTTGGGCTGCGACCACTGATTGCATTAGGTTTGAAGATCCAAGAAGCTGCAGTCTTCTTTCAAGTTATTTTCATGGCGCGAAACTAACGAATCGGTCTGATTATTTTATATCCAATACAAACGAGATTATCAAATACTCTTCTGGTTTAGTTAAACAGAGAAGAAAAAAAGAATTGCATAAATCGAACAAATTTTGTTGAAGATAACTGGAATGATACGTAGGATGTTGTTCAAATTTAATTTAAATATTCTGCGGTCGAAAATCAGTGTTTATTCGTTTCCTTTAAGTAACACAGTGGTTGAGGCGGTTCGCTTATCTAACGTCGAGACAAACTTTGTCAATGGTTGCGATGCGTACGTGGAAAACCTCTGTAATGAGGTAACCAAATTTCTTTACTGCAAATGAAGACTTGTGTTTAGATAAATAAAATCATTTCAACTTCATTCCTGTGAACATCTACGCGTACTTTATGCTTTCTTCAACTCACAAATAATGTTTCAGGAATTTGTAGATGTATTATTCCAATTGTAAGATGAATCTCCGCCTAATTAGACTAACATTGAATTCACTTAAACGAAATGGCATCTTTTAGTTAAATTCGTTATTGGAACCCATGCTCACGTTTTCATTTAGTTGATATTGAGGAAATGAGATTTCCTTCATTTATATCAGTTCACGATTCTAACTATTGTGAATTCTTTCTCCGTTATCTTTGTGTTCTTGACGTTCATGTCTAGCGGTATGAAAATTTTTGAAAAGAAGAAATGCGTCAGATAATTATTGGAACATCTGCTAAAATTCAGCAGGTCTGCATTTGGTTTTTAGTTTCCTTCACACCTTTGACTTTTTACGTTTTGAACCAGTTTTCTCATGGCGACCGGTGCCTACGTGCTAGTCGAGTCGCGATTTTTTTCTTGGTTATCTCACATTTTATCGACAAAGCTGTTCATAAATTCTAGACAGTCGTGTTTTGTAACCCAAATTCATTGAAAATGATTATGTACATGTTATATAATTCTAGCTCGCTAATATGTTGAAGGTAACCTGACAATTTGATCTGACGAAATACGAGTTTGTGAGAATATACTTAAGCAAGACACTTCGAACCAACAATATCGGAATAATTACTACGTTAGATATATACATAAAATTCTACCTCCCGTCATAAACAATAATGAAAATTAATGTGATTGAAAACAAATTAATGTTTGAAAAGATCCTCTCGGCACTGCTGGTGGGAAAGGACAAATGTTTTATTTGTAGCAGTGTGCTTGCAGTGGCATAGAGCGTGTAACATTAGGAACAAATTTTAAATTATTCGTCAAATATAATTATTTATAAGGAGGATAATTCGAAGTAGCTACTCACTCTAGTAGAGCAACTTCAACCCGTGTGAGAGAAAATACTTGCTGATTTTCAACACGTATGGCAGTAAATACTTGCTAATAGAAAAATCCTTGCTGACTTTCAACACGTGTGTCAGAAAATACACGGGTGGCTAGAAAATACTAGGGTGTGGCATTCAGTGCTTGAGCACTGGTTGACGTCATCGAACAGGTAGCGCCGGTTTGTGAGCCCAGCAACAGGTTGGACGATAAAGCCAGAATAAAAAGACGAAGGTTAGGCAATCGCTCGGAGCAGGATAGTTCGTTGGATAATTCGCATGCAGTAGTTTAGAAGCTGCAAAAATTAGATGTAAAAACAATTTTTTGTCGGGTTTTCTGATTTTTTGTTCTGTGTCTGTCTCGCTCAGCACCTCGATCCGAGCTTTCATATATGGATTGATGTGGTCAAACTGGTCGGTAATCTGAAGGTTTCCTTCACTTGGAATGTTCGTTTGATAAATTTCAGAAACAGAGAATACTAAAACATACGGATACGCTTGCTAAAATATTTGTTTAATCCGTGTAAAAATGCTTGGAATGGATTGACCTAAAAAAGTGGTAATTCGATTTTCAGTTGTTTAGCTCAATTAATTTTAACACATGAACAGAACAGAATTCATAACCTAAGTAAACACAATTTGCTTCATGTTGATTATGTTAAAATTCGATACCCTAGGCGAGATGCTATAGTAAATTTGGTCGCTTCTTGTACTGATGCTTGACGTCTTGACTGCTCAGCCTGTGAATCATTAAAATCCTCGTAAACATTGTTCATGATCCCCACGGCTGGACGATGTTATTGGGATTTCGCGTTGTTAGAGCAAAGGAATTTAGAAATTTTGTTTATTTTTCAGTTTGGTACATTTCTTTGCCATCATTTATATATTAATTGACCAATTCATCGACAGGGAATAATACCTGGTATAACTTAGGGCTTATGATTATATTATCAATTATCAATCAATCAATAAAATTTCTAACATTTAATTATTGTTTGTAGGGTAAAAATGTCCTTCATCTGAGATAGTAGCTTACTGCTAGTTTCCGAATTATTGATAAAGGTAAACAACCAAAATTATGTACTGAGGGGAAATAATTTTTAGCCTTGTTGATTTTGATGCTTATATACTACGGTAACAAATAATTGTCAATCATTTCCTTAATATCCTATGAAATGTGCAAATTTGTATTCAAAACAGAAGAAAATTATGATGAAAAATTAAAAATATCAGAGCTCGTCCGTCCCAAGTCGGCGAACAACCACCTTTCTTGATTTCTGGAATAGTGTAACAATGAAATTGATCGATAGAATTATTTGTGAAAATGAAGCAATTGAGTTTTCAGAGCAATAGGGATCAAAGAGACGAGTAAAAACAGTTACATTTCAGTAGATAAATTTATAATATAATTGGTAAAATTTTACAAAGAATTGTAATGTTGGAACACATTCATTGTTGGATGTAGTTGAATTGCTGTTGTACTCGTATCTCAGAATTGCCGCCCCAGTCATTCAAGGTTGTAATGACGAATTTTCGGACAAGAAAATTTAACTCAGGAGAATTTATTTTACTGTTGTAAGAACGATTATTCAGACATGTATAATGCACATAGTTGATGCAGTATTTTTTCAGTAGTTTCAATATTAGTAAGTTGCCAGATCTTCAAAGTTCAACACATTCGACGAGCTACGAAAAATAGCACATTAGGGATTTCTTTGACTTGGCAATCACAATCGATGTCATTGATGAAATTAACAAAATATAATCCATCGAGTCTACCATTTACAGATATAAAAAATTTTGTGAAGAAGACAACCATTCAACGACAACATTAATTTAATGAAAATAAATCTCAGAATATTTTATCTGAACTCTGTTAGAACAACAAAAGTATGCTCTACATTCTAGTCTGAGTAGCAGGAATTGTAAAAAGAATTTATTTGGACAAAAATCATCACTATTCAATAACTGTTACAATATTGAATATGGTAAACGCTAGCATAAATGTATTCAATGATGAAAAGTTATTTTTGGTATTCATTGAGGAACATGTATGAGGATTGTTCAAGAATTATAAAGCTTTATTTCACCGAAAAAGGTGATTTTGATCGATAAATAATAACGCTTTTGAATATTTCTTTTATATTATCCAACACCTTCTAATGAAAATAATCATTTTTTCGGCGAAAGGACTTTTATTTGGAATTTAAATATTTGCCCATTATATTTTACTAACCTTCAAGAAGTTGGAGGTTATAATAAAAAGCAACTCCTCCCATACTGTTCCATCAACCAATGGATACTAGGTGCCGCCCCCCAGGTAACATATAAGTAGCAGTGAAGCACTGCCAGTCGCTCATCAGTCTTCATACCAGCGCACCAGGTTGGTATATTCAGCCGGACTAGTATCATGTATAGTAATAAACAGCATACATAATGTATTTTTACGCATCATGTTGTAGATGAAATAGATTAATTCATGTATATATAAATATAAGTAGCAATGTATTAGGATTTTGATTTTAAATTTTCAGTTTTCAATCACCTTAGCCATGTCCCCCAGCGGTATTGCGTGTTGTGTTGCGTATAATAGTACATGTATCAAATTTTGGAATGGATATTCTTTATAGTATTAACGGTCATGCTATGAGTAGCATTTGGTATCTATGAGATAAAATTTAATAATAAGTAAAAGGTTTCTGAGATGCTAATTAAATAACTTTATTTCTTTTTTGTTCTAGTTAGAGGCGCGAAGACATCTACAATAAGAACACTACATCATGAAGCTTTTACTCGTACTGTTCACGGTCATGGCGGCCGCTGCATCATACGACATCATCGACGATAAGCTCGTCAACGGCTACGGCAGAATGGCGGTAACTAGCTTATATTTATAACGATAATCTATGAATAATTATCATATATAATTTACATTAATGAGATGCAAATTAATGCAGGGCATATAATTTGAAAAAATATTGAAGCGACTTCTCGTACTGTGACGATCATGCGACGTAAAGCGCATTTTTCATGGTTGACATGGTAAATAAAAAAATGACAAAATAAAAAATCGTTTGAAATACCACTGACTAAAATATGAATAATGAGATCAAAGCAGTGAAATCAAGACTCCCGTGAGAGGGTGGGAAATAGGTATGGGTATGCAGTAATAGGTACTAACCGAATTTAGAAGACGCAATTGAGTCAGGATATTTTATAATATCGTCCGATGTAGAAGATTTGTCCTTTGACCTTTAGAATAAGAACTTCATCGACTGGAATAAGCAATATATATTAAACACAATTATAAACAATTCATCACTGTGATACGAAACAAACTTTTTGCAAGGTTATGCGCGACTGCTTCGGCGACCGAGAATACGCCCGCTACACGAGTCGCGTGAAGGCGGCTGAAGGCACCTGCCGGTCTCGCTCCTTCCAGCCCCAGACCCAACCCTTCCTGACCACAGCGCCGGTCTACCGCCGACCGTCTTATGAGGTCTGACGCCGGAAATAAATTCCAATTGTTAATTGTTAATTTTACGAATATTATTGGGAAAATTCATCAGCTTATTACCTCTCAACTGCAACATTAAACATCGTCAGGAACAGTCGAGTCACTAGACGAGTAACCGGAGATACTAGGCATTTAGATTCCATGGATAGTTGGATACGTACAAAAATGATCATATATATTATTTTTTGCGGTATTTCAAGGCCTCGTCACCTGAGTTACCGCAACTAGACAGAAGGTTGAACCTTTGCTACGGATACATCATAGTTCGTAAAAGGTATTATTATGGCCTGGATAGTTAAGGAGTGCTGATAAAATGTTAATATTATCGCTAAAATGATAGGGTGCTTTCCAAGGTATCATAGAAGTATTATAGAAAAATCAGACGGTTAAATCATTTGACATTTTATAACCTATCAGCCAAGTCTTATACTGAAGTCGGGCAGAGAAATATCGGAAATTTAATAACTTTTCAGCCAGGTGTTATACAAAAATTGGACATATAAAATATCGGAAATTTTATAACTTTTCACCCAGGTGTTATAAATAATCGGTCGAATAATCAATCGGGATTTGTCTAACCTTTCAGTCAGACGACGATCAGTTCTACGACCGTAAGCGCGTACACGAGCTATCCATCAAGACACGTGCGCGCTTCTCAAATGCTACGTGCGTCCTACGAGAACTGGGATACGTGAGTGATATTCATCTAATATATTCCATATGTCCAGAATTTATTTTTTATTGCCAATTAGATTTTATTTTATTTTATAACCCAATGAGATGTATTGTGATCTCAAAAATTTTTATTGATTCTAAAAAATAAAGATCTGGTTTTAGGATATGAATCAGAACAAGGATGTTCAATTCAAATTCTCGGTATTGACAGAGATGTTTGGAAAGCATAAAGCTTGAGATGTATGGAATAGCAGGTTTTCAGATTTGATTGCCTGCAGTGAGCATGTGGACCAAATTTTCTTGTATTTTCTTGTACAAGCTTGACTTTTCTTGTACTTGAAAGCTTGAATAAATTGAAAATATTATTAACTCTGATAAATTTAACTTTAGACTTTTAATACTTCAAATTCATTTGTTCATTGAAATATTGAAAATATATGAAATAAATTTCTGGCACAAAAAATCAAATTGACCCTGATACTAATTCATCAGTACTTAATATTAATTATTATTCATTAGATTACTAAACAATAAATATAATATCCCTATTTAATATATATTTTTCATTATTACAAGTTACATAATTAGTAATATTATTTACTATATCAGCATTATGATCCACTAATTATCTTGATCCGGATAATAATTACTCAGCTCATAATATTAATTATTATTTAATGGATTATTGTGAAAATAAATTTAGTAATCAATATCACTTGATTATAATATTACCTAATTAATAATATTAATCACTAGATCGACGGGTCGTACAACATTCAATACCAGACGATGATCGACGAGATCAAAGACGTGGGCCGCATCGACAAGCAGCTCATGACCGATCTCATCAGTGGCATCAACCAGTGCAAAGACTTTGCAGTGAGTAATTAAATCAAACTAATAGCATTTAAAAATACCATTGGGATTAGAGACATAAGATATGTTCCTATGATTAGTTGTAGTATCAATTAAAACAGGATATGCAAACTGATCTCAGTCGCGATAGGTAGATGACTTTCTAACCGGTTTTGGCGTGCATAGTTACCAGCCTCCGAATGACTCTGAATTTCCGTTTGTCGAAGATATTTATGTTAGTTTAAAATAATACGTCGACATGTTCATTTTACCAAAACACTTAAAATTTTTTTATTGATTATCTTGAAACTTAACCGTTTCCGTTTTGAGAGCTCGCATGCCTAACCATTATATTTTTAATGACTATGCAGTTTTCCTGATTTTATTTCGTGGTATCTTATTCGAGTCAAATAATCTCTGATTAAAACAATACTGTTGTAGTGAAGATTCCTAACTGTTGAGCAGACATGCTTGCCGACTGAGCGCATCCAGTACCCGATGACAGTCGAGAGCTTCCGTTACATTTCGTTCAGCAACTGCCGCCACCACGCCACGCTCTTTGCGTGTCTCAAGCGCAACGCGCGCCAGCAGCGGCGACAAGAAGACTACACCGGCCCCGACAACATCGTTGATACAGCCACCGAGGACGAGAAAATCATCGCTATGCTCTGGGCCGAAGCTAAAGTCAACAGTTTTTAAATCGTGGCGTAGAATGATGCAACAGATTCAAGCCACAGCCGCGAATTGGCTTTCTTGTTTGAAATTGTTCAAATACTGAAACTATTTGCGGTGAAATTATTATGTTCTGGAATTGACCGTCGAATTTTACGATGCATAAAAGTTGAGGTAAAAATATATCAAAAATTCAGAGCTTTTGCGATTTCCGAAATAAAATTAACCAATTTTGTTTCTCTTTTCCTAGTCTCTGAACTGGCACATAAGTTATTTAAACCTGCGCTTAGAACTTAATTTTTCGCATTCCCACAATACAGCAACTTGTTTGCCAAGTTCCTTTTGTCTTCTTCTGGGCGAGTTTCATTAATTTTAAAATATTCAAAGTCTCAATAAAATTTTTGAAATAAACGTTCTGGGGAGGCCAAGATTTTTTATTGTTTTGAGCATTGTTATGCTTTTGAGATGGGGGACTAAACGTTTTCAATCTTAGCAAAAATTATATTTGGAATCTGAGATGTTTTTCTTTCTTTGTGAGTAGATCCAATCGTACATGTTTAAATTTTATTGACCAAATATTTCCATGCCAAAAAACAAGCAAAAAGCTCGTCGAAGCTATCCTTGCTCCTAGAAAAACAGACGAAGACCCATATCCAAATAATGGCTGAGAAGATTAAATTATTCAGTTCAAATATGACTAGAAATTTCGTAACATTCAGATTAATTTAGATTTTTCGTTTGTTAATTAGTTGTTGGAATCGCATCCAAATGAAGCAGTCGATGCTTCAACATAATCGCCACGTGTTATGTCATTAAATTATAATGAGACTGAAAGCTAATTTAGCTGTTTACGAAAATCGATGATGAATTGGTTCACTAAAAATAAAATCACAGATGATCCATACAGATTACCGAATTAAACATTGTTGAAACATTTAATTTCATTAATATTTGGAACAGTAACATCAAGGCGTCACCATAAAAAGTCGATCTTATGTTAGCGTATTAATGAAGTCAGCGGATTTGTGAAACTTAAATGCGAAACGGGCTTGATATTAGTGCAACTAAAATAATTACTGAACGATTTGCTTCAGTAAGACAAATTGGTTTATTTTGGTTTCTGAGTACGCTCGTTTACAAAGAGACGGTGTGAGTAATATTTTTTTTAATTGCGGAGGTAAAACTGAAACTCATCATTTCAAATATATGACTTATGACATTAATTGCTTCAACTGGAAATACACTTACAGGAACAAAATAGCCCGGGTAAACAGATAATTTCGTATAACAAAAGTGTTGAAAGGTAGAAATGTAAGAAAATAGACATACCCTCCTTCTTCAAAAGGAATGAAAGCCGAATACAAATGAAATTGATAATGTTAGACTTAAAAAACATACAAAATAATAAGGAGCCGGCGAAGTTTACATGAAATTTCGCGCAGTGCCGTTGTCTTCTGGTCCCTGGTGATATGGCAGTTCGCTTGACTGGCTTGCATCAACGGCGAGGGTTCGCAGCGCACCGGGGTCTGTTTGTTCTGAATCTTCAGAGAACACAAATATTGTTGTTGCAGAGTGTGTTCGTTCTGAGAGAACACAAATATTGTTGTTGCAGAGTGTGTTCGTTCTGAGAGAACACAAATTGTTGTTGCAGAGTGTGTTCGTTCTGAGAGAACACAAATATTGTTGTAGTAGAGTGTGTTCGTTCTGAGAGAACACAAATTGTTGTTATTGTGTTTCTAGTAAACTATCCATTATCATTACTTTGTAATGAAATTTTATATTCAGTTCTAGTAAAATAATAGAAATATTATTCAAATCAGTTCGTTGGGAAAATATGAGCTTTATACACGAGATGTTTTCACGCCGTTCAATTTTAATTATGCTTCAACATATGCCTCACTACACTGAACTACATATAGTGCTTCTTGTTTATAAATTTTCAACGTTATCATCGTTATTGTTTATCAGTATAATTTCTTAATATTTCTCGACTAGTAGTTGTGCAAGAATTCTATCATCTTAAGATATTATTTAAAATTTTTCATCTCTTTTCCAACATTCGCTATTGTTCAAACAGGTGTAAATTAATATAATTTAATAGCGGAATTTCACACCTTATTTCTTAACTTCAGTAAATTAAAAAATCCTGTCAGCACTTAATTCTCGTCACTGATAACTCACTTCCGTTGTTGGACTTCAGCATTTAACGCTTTCTCCACTTCCTATCCAAAGCTCTGCTTGAAGTCGAATACGCATTCATTATATATGCATTACTCGATGCAGAACTTTTATGAACATCTTTTTTGTACGATGTGTTGTAAAATTTTACCACATCTTGATTGTCTCCGCGCATAACTTTTCTTTGTCATCAGGCCTCATGCAGCTTATCTTATCGGCGCTGTCTGTTCTTCATCATCGAATGCCCTCGGTCGGCGGAGATGAAGGGAATAAATGATGGGGTGGAGGTCGGTGAAGATGGGGAGAATGAATGATGAGGTGTAAGTCGGTGGAGATGGGGGAGAATGAATGATGGGGTGGAGGTCGGTGAAGATGGGGAGAATGAATGATGGGGTGTAAGTCGGTGGAGATGGGGAGAATGAATGATGGGGTGGAGGTCGGTGAAGATGGGGAGAATGAATGATGGGGTGTAAGTCGGTGGAGATGGGGGAGAATGAATGATGGGGTGGAGGTCAGTGGAGATGAGGAGAATTATATAGGAATGGGCGGGGGTGAGGAGAATGATATAGGAATGGGGGGAGGGAATATGGGAATGATAGGGGAAGGAGGGGTCAGTGGAGAGAGGGAGTCCAGGAATTGTGTGTGGAACTTGTCACCATCTCAGCCCCGCACAAATGGCTTCGTTACTAGAGCTGCAGATCCGAGCGAGCATTCGGAAAATTTGATACCTCGAGACGCCAGAGCTCTTCTGTAGGGGCTGTGATTCTAGACAGTGATTCTTCTACGCTAACAACGCGATCAAAAAAGGAAATTTCAGTTTGAGGAAGAAGTATACCAACGCCCAGAAAAACAGTAATGCTGAGTACTTAACGAACAGACCCATACATATGATATGAAAAGGCCACTTCGTTCTTTCCATAATTACTCGAGACAAAAGAGGATACAGTGCAAGAGCGATTCAAATTTTCTGAAGTTTATAAAAGCATGAGAATAACCGGTCTAATCGAGACTGAATGACGGAAAACTCTATTATGAACTGAGTTTCAATAAACCAAGACAAATTAAAGTGGTCTGTAACTAGGAAAATAAGATCTCCGCAAATAAAAGTTGAAAAATTCATCATCATAAGATTTAATGTTAATGCGCCTGTGTAATTTTAATGGTTCAAAAGACCTTGCATGGAAAAGGACGCTTTAGTTTGATCTGCCTGTCGGGAGGTGAGGGTAGAGGAATACTAAGGTAGCGTTCCAGCTCGGCCTGGGACCGTTGAGGCCGAAACAATTACCAAGAATATCGAGAATTCAGAATACAAACGTTCGGCACTCTATTACGGATGGCTGATGAAATTAGGATAGCACAACACTATAGGCAACAACGTTACTGTGCGAGATTGGAGCAACAAAGCAGTGCAAGTAGCGCGCAATGTTAGATGCAATCGTTTTATTACAAGCTTATCTGCGTTATCATATGACCGTTATAATGATGTATTTAATTGAGCAAGAATTTGCAAAATAGAAAATATGCCGAATAAATTCACTATACTTTTAGCGGAAACGTGAATAAAAACCAGTTGAATTCACAATTATTTGCTTTTAAACTTTTAGTTAAATTTCGATTTGAGCAAACGAATGATGGACGTACATTTATAATGAAGGTTTATATTTAATCAGTTTCAAAATTATATAACACATAATCGACGAAATTGTACATCATCATAGCCGAGTTATTTTTTATTATATGCAAAATTTGTGTGCTTCTGAATTCTGCTTGGCATAATCAGAATTCTCTATTTCGAATTTTCAACTTTGCCATGCTTGTGTTGGCATTTATAGGAATTTTCGTAGTTTTGCTCGTGAGGCCAAATAAAATTTTAACGCGTCACTGACTTATATTTACTGATTTCTGAAGTTTTAAGTGTAAAGTTTCACATTCTAGTGAAGCAATTCAAAAGTTTTCGTTAAGAGGCGTAGCGCGAGAGGGAAGTTTTACTTGCAAACCGACAGGAGAAGCTATTCAATCAGGCCTATTGTCATGCGGTCAACGCTGCTAGATTGCTCAGCATTCATTAGTTATTCCATCAACAAGAACTTGTTAAAATGCAGCAAAATAACGCTTTTGTTAGCAAATACGGAGAGGTTGACGTTACCACGCATTTGAGGGTCAACAGCTTCTAGCATGCGACAGAGTTCCCATCCATGGGATTGTTACAGGAGGGATTATCAAAGCTGCCAGTCTGATGTTAAATGCAACAACAATATTAGTTTTCATCCGTGTCAGAGATCAAAAACTTTCTTGCATATTCAATCCGTTAAAACAGCGCTCAACTTCGTGGACACATTTCTTTAGGGCCAATACGCTACTGTATACTGGAAATGTGGGAACAAACAATATTTAAAGTGAGTTTGATACATTTTCATGATATCATAGAATATAATATTACAAATCTCTACCATGTTGACATATCATTTGCGCTGGGAAGAATTTAAAATAATTTCACTCCGTATTTACGATATTGTTTTTCATCTACTAAAAAATGAAATTAATTTGAAATACTGGACATATTCAATCGATCTTTGCTGCGCGCCCAACTCGTCATCAGCAGTTCAAATGTTTATTGAACATTTCATTTGATCCCACGTAGTTAAAATGCTTTGTTAAAAGACCGATCCCTATGTCAACAACAGGACGCGGTCTCCCCATAGCGTATTACAATATGCATGTCATAAAACTCGTGATTGCCGTCGTGTTTACCAACTGTAAATTTAGTTTATGATTGATTGCCGCAAGACGGTAATGTGGAGAATGGAGATTGTCAAGTAAATTTTCAGTTGATTTTTGACTCATGGAATGGATTACCTGTGAGATTATAGATTGAGAATCCATTTATTAAGTTGGAATCTTATAGAATGTAATTATTAATTTCAAGAGGCGTGATTGGATGTTGACTTACGTTTGAAAAACAGCAAGAGGTTGGGTGCTTTAAAATTAAAGTCATGTCGTGAATTGTTCAAAAAATTACAATATTATCAATAAGTCTAAGACGGTGAATAAATTACTATTTAACAGTTAATGAGAGTTATTTCTAATTTAGTAAATAAAATGGAATTATATAATCCATAATTTTCTGTGCTTCTTTGTGTTAAGGAAAATTGTAATTCTAAAGTTGATCTCCAGAATAAAATTTGAATCAGTTTTGAATCATGTACATTAAGAATTGGAGTAAGAATTGCTCTACGCGATTTTTCTCATTCTGCATGTTTATTTACCTAAATGTGCGTCCTTCACATCTATGTGAAATTACGATGCCGGGTTCGTTTTGCAATCCAAAGGATTCAATA